TTCATGTTTCTCTATTCGACTTATTCCATATCACGTTATTAAACACTTGACATACTAAAAGAAAATATAATAAAAAAAAACTTAATACATTAAACTTGGATAGTTTTTTGTAGAAAGTTATTACATATTACTTTTAATTTTTGTATTTTAAATTAAATTTCGATTATTGACAAACAGCTATAGACAATAGTTGTAAAGGAAATTATGCTTTTTAACCGTAACTATGATGAGTTTTTAGTTTTCATAAAATATTTTTAATTTTAATGGTAGTGACATACAAAATCATTCTAACTCTTTAATATTTAGTCTCTATAATCCCTTTGACCATATTAATCCCTTATACCGACTTAAAAGAAAATGGGCTAAATACTTTTCTTAACTCAATTTAGCACACCTATTTCTTATATATTTCATTTTTTTTTTTTTGAAATTGCATCAATGGTCTCCTTCTTTTTGCATGATATTCATGCGTTATCTAAAATAATTTATTTATTGTATAAAGTATACAGATTGTAATATTTTCTTGATAAAAAAAATCGTAATAGTTTTTTTGACCATTTTAGTTTAATTATATATTAATAACAAAATAAAATTAAACGTTCAATTTAAATTTATAAAGGTATCATATTAAATAAATAATTTATATTGTGTAAATATTACATTATTATTTGAAAAAAATCTATAAATTATACCGTAACATTGATTGTATCAAACTACTTACGATTTATTGTAGGTTTTTCTCGTCATACTAATAAGTTTTTTAAAGTATAATATTAATTAAATAGTGTTTATAAGGCACTTAAAATAAAAATATTTTATTATCAAAATCATATTTTTTTATTGTCCCCTATATTCTGTGTTGTAGTATAGTATGATAAAACTTAGAGGTATCAGTATGTTTATAAATATTTTTGGGCTTAAACAAATTGAATTCCCTATACATAGTTTGCAAAATTTGTTTTTTTTTTTTTAATTTGAAATATTTGAATATTTTAGTCATATTATATTAGACATTATTTTAAAAATATTTCTCTCATTTTTTCTTCTAATTATTATAAAAGGATTTGCAATTAAATAAATACTAATAAAGCTATTAAACTTAATTTTTTCTTTTTAATAATAAAATTTATATCTTTTATCACTTTTTACTAAAATAGAAAATAGTGCTCTATGTTTAATAACTAACTACTGCGTACATTTTATTATGTTTTTTTTTATTTTTCTATAAAAAAATTATAAATAAATATTGTCATTTGATATGACTAATTAATAATTACATAATTTTGAATTCAATATAATTTTTATATTAATAATATAGTATGTAATATACCTATATATTATTTTAAAAAGAGTTTGCTTAGTTGAAAATGATTGAATTAAAAATATAGAAATTATCTTTTTTTGCATACATTAATAAATGTTGTTATTATAAAAATGTTGGCGCAAGTTTGAATAGAGTAGGGGAAGAGACTGTAGACTATGGAACCCTCTCCCTAAAAATCCATAGTTATTGCATAATATTTTGAATTTTTTTCATATACTCTTTCATGTAAAGCTTATACATAATATTGAATGTATAAATATAACAAACCCTCCAAATGGACCCCTTCAATTTAAATCGTTGATAACATCTGTGTTGGTCTGTATTAAGTTTATAATTTAATTTAATTTTCAATATAATATTATTTAATTCGCTCTCATAAAAAATATAGCATTTGTTGTGGTATGCATAAAGATAATAAATAATTTACAAACCATTCATATAACTCCTTGTAATAAGAATAAACATAATTATTAATGATGCATTTTTTTAGTTATTTAGTTAATTTTAAATTGTTTAATGGGAAATTATTTAAGAAAAAATTGTAAACGATTCCCTTTAAAAATACTTAATTCTAAATGTAATTTGTTAAACATCAAATTATAATCAACATTTATGAAAATTATTAAACTCTTATAGTAGGTTAAAAGTTCCTTTTAGCTTAATTTAAATGTAAATGTGGTTATATAACTTAAAAAAGAGTATTGTAATGGTAATATTCTTAAATTTGATTGTTCATACTAATTATAAATTAATAAATTTATGATTCATAAATTAGTCATGAAGATCTAAAGTAAACAATACACAATTATTTATAAAATGAGTAAAAATAAATTTATCCGTTATTCCAAATTAAGTCATTTATTCATATGGCAACTAAAACCGTCATTTTTACATTTTCGATTCCTTTGTTATTTATACATGCATTTTATTATTATTTATTTTTATAGAGTGTGGCTTTAAAAATAAGTATAAATAATATATCATATTTTTGTGTATGACACGTATAATGCTATTTTTATGAATAACTTAGCTTAAAAATAATTAAAATAAAAAGTAAAGTTTTAATAATTCTGTAATTACGTTTTTGTTTAAATATCTGCAATATTCTAATTATTGTAATAATTTTCAATTATTAAATCAATAAAACACTTAATGAATAATAAAAATTTACTTAGTTAAGCTGCTTACATTTAGGTTCATAAATATTTTTTATTCTTCTTTTATTATTTGTATTTTAAAGATCAGCATTCTGACGAACTTACTATCGAACAAATTTAAATAATATAACAATAATAATAAAATTACATTTTTCCATATAATTTGTTTGTTATATAAATTAATTAATTTTAAACTCATATTATTTTTCACGTGTGTAACTTGTATTAATTTTTTTGTTTTTGTTTTTCAGATTTTTTTGTTTTATCTTATGTATATAAAATATAAATATTTATATTTATATATACATTATACATATTTAGTTCTTTTATATTTAAAAAAAAAAAATTAAGTCGTTTTAATAAAATGGATTTTGATTAATTTTCGATGTACAGCTACCCAAAATTTGATTTTCCAAAGTCTAGGGGCTAGGATAGAAATAACATTATTTTATATAGTTCACTCTACCTTAGTAACATGCCTAAATAATTTCCTGAGAGATAGTGAATTCAATATATAATAATATAAGCATTACACATAATATAATATTATTATTATTGGGAAACAAAAGATGTAATTATATGAGTAGAAGAGATAAGTATGAAAAAATATCATTCTCCATTATACATCTAATAGTATTATGATCGAAGGTAAGGGTGCTAACCGATTTGTATATTTGAAGGTCAATATGCGCTATCATATCAAAGAAGTAACAATCAATGATGCTGATTGAAAACGAAATATCATAACTCATATTAAAGTTTTTACTTCCAAAGTTTGAATTTACATTGAATCTCACGTATCATAATATTGACGAGACTTCATTTTAAATCTACTGAGTAAATATTGATGGAACGTGTAAAATTTGTGCCGATATTGGAATATCGTACAAGTTTCGGCTTAAAGTTTTCTTTCTTTTTTTTTTTACTTAGGTACAGGTGAATAATAACTGCATCATATAATATTCAATTCCATTATACTATTATATATAAGCTCCTTAATATACGGATCACATTAAATATAATGTATTATTGCTATTAATTTCAACTATAAAATAAGATTTCCTACTAAAACCTATAACGATGGTAGGTGTTAAATGGTTTTCGTTTTTTCTTAAAATTAATGGGTTACTTGTACTGCTGGGCCTTTAAAAATGTGTTTCACTTATATCACAATCTATATAATATTTTTTACTGACGTTACTGTACTGTATTGTCTGCCAAAAACCGAAATGTCATATGAGAATATTTATTGATTTATAAAATCGAAGTGTAAGCTTAGTGACATAATCGCGTTATACAATATTCGACGACTTTAATATATTTAAGTACATTTATTATGAAGTATTACAGTGCATATATCATCGTCACTACATAATCAAATGGTTATAATCTTGAATAAAAAAATATCTTAAACTTTATTGGTAATTTAAGTTATAGTATATAAATATTGCAAGACATTAAATAGTGATATTAATGAATAAAATGAACATTTTAAATCGAACAAAAACTTAAGAGTCACATAGTATACTGTGTAAATAAAATTAGTAAGTAGTTAAAATATTATAACGATCGCAATGTAATAAATAGTAATAATACCCAATAATAAAATGCCTATCTCGATTCTCGACTCATTATTGTTTTCACGGTCGTACATTTAATGTCCTGTTGTCGGCGATAATCATCACTATCGTCGGATTTTTCATACGGTTTGGCGTTCTAAACGACTGTATTGTGTTTTTTTGCCATCGCCGCTTATGATAAAATAAAATAAAACCAAAAAAGGGTTCTACCATTATCGCCGGGTCCCTCTGCTGGTGGTGTGTCCATTTCGAGGTCGTCCCTACAGACGTTTTGACTTGGCGCAGAACAGTAGCGTCATTATCAGTTATTTTAACGTTATAGTGATATTATACAATATACATTGCTGCTGTGCGTACAGAATAACAATATTATAATACTGTTATTATTGTTGTTATTATCGTTTTTATCTGTTAACTGGTTGCAGTCGGTTCGGTGACCCAAGTCCTAAAACGAATAAGTATAAAAATAAAATAATAAATAAAAAAACCGAAAAAAAATAAACCGCCAAGCCGTCGCTGCCGCAGCCGCAGCCGCCGCCGTCAGGACTGATAATGTTGCGTCGGCGACCGTGACCGAGCCACACGACGACACCCGAACGCACGAGGGTAGCGCGACTACAACAAGTCGCCGACCGCTCGTACTCGTGGGGGGCCGGGCCAGTCGTACGCCGGGTCGCGCCATCAGTTTGTTGTCGTTTTCGCCGCCCCCGTCAGTGCTCGATTTCGTATAAAATAATTTCGTCGTGTTCGTCGTTGTGCGTATCGTGTCTAAAAAATAAAAAAAAAAAAAATTTAATTTAAATTTATATATAGATATTACTTACTTGTTTTTTAATACTTGCGGGATACACGTTGCAAAAAAAAAAAAAAAATGAGTTAGGATAAATTTTTTTGATTTTCTTTTTTTTTTCTTATTAAAAAGTTTTTTTTCTTATTTTGTGTAACCCTTGTATATTATTTTTAAAGTCTTAAATCGATTTCTTAATTTATAATTATTATTATTTTTTACTTGTGGTGTCTGTGTCTGTCCGTCCTTCCGTCACTGTTTTTTTTATTTATTTATTTTATTTACTGTCATCTAATTGTGTCGCTGAAGAGTTGGGATTTTTATTTTATCCATTGGTTTGTGCATCACATTTAATTTTTATGTACATTAAAATATTATGATATCCTGTGGGCTACGGGGTGCGTGGCCGGTTCAAAGAAAATATTTCAGCAAACAAAGAAACAAAAACGGGTTATAAAGTAATTATAATGTCGATTACTCATTTAAATATATGCATTTTTTAATATCGGTATAATGCTAATGTTTGGCGCAAGCACCCCGAAGCTCACTTTGTAGACTAACAATGCCTCTGATGAAGCTTTTTGTCCAAAAATAAAAAATGTATTCAAAATTCGAGAAAACGCCGGAAAATAATATTAAGTAAAAAAACAATTTAAGTGTAGCTATATCACATAATATAAAATTATTAGTGCGATTTTTCAGGAATCTCAAGTGAAAAATTAAACCCATTTTATTATCCGGCGGTATTCGAGAATATTATTTTTTAGCAATGTAATCCCATGGGATACAACAGGAATTTGTATATTTTTCTACCTTTTTGGAGCCTTTTTCACCCCTACAGTTTATCTCAGTGTAAAGCTAAGGAATTCATACACCAGAGATAACAAGGTTGAGGGTGCATGCGATAGTATTCTTTGTAATATGAAAAAAAGTAAATTATGGGGTTAGCAGTTGTAATAGTGAACATAAGTAGAGGGTGAAAGAGGTCAAAGGTCAGGAAACATGGTAACTGTGCCTTGAGGACTTCTACGTGCCCAACTCAACATTTTACCATTTGATTTTAATATTCAATTTTTTTTTTTATCTTCTGGATCATTACATTTTAATTAAAATCACATTGAAAAATAAATAAAAACTGTCTATTGTCATGTCATTTAAAGTTTTGGCTATTGGGAATTGAAAAAAAATAAATATCTGTTTAAATTAATAAAAACACGGTCCCCCATCGCTGATGTAGTCTTCATTTAGTATTCATCACTCGTCCTACCCACCTCTCCGGAAACCATTGCGTTTACCCATCCCCAACTTTAAAATACTGATTAATTTTGTTTCAACAGTAAAAAGAAAAAATGCCAATTTGCGTTCAGTTTAATATTATATTCTTTCTCTGGACAGTTTATTATTTTTGTTTTTTTGTCGACTTTGTTATGCCAGTAAAACCCTACAAATCCCTTGTGTTATGTGCCTTCGTCATTGTCGTCGTACGGTTTCTATAACACTTGTTGAGGCTTCCACCACTGTTTGTTCCACACTTCCACTAGCGAATTTAATATTTGCCAGAAACAATTGGATTGTTATTTGTTCCTATAATCATCTTCTCTTTTTATTTTTACTTTATTGAAAATGTCAAGAAAGAAGTGATTGCTTCTTCAAACGAAGCGTGTATAATGTGTCCTCGTAACAGTATTTTATTTCATAAATTCAGCATTATATTATTGACACCATAATATTACATTTTTATCTTATTATATCTTTTATTTAATTTTTTAATAAATAAATAATTTATTTAATTTTTTAATAAATAAATAATTTACTTAATTATTTATTTAATTTTTTAATACCTAATTTAATTATTATGTACTAAAAATGTTATTGTATTTAGTAAATAATTTTAATTTGAAAATATCATTCTTAATTTATTGTTTATACCTCATAGTTTTGTTTTGATACTTCGCGGGATACTTTCATTGAAAAAAATAATATAGTATTTTAAGATAAAAATATTCTATTTTATTCGATAACATTAAAATTTTCTGATTCATTTATTTTTCTATTACATTCTTTACATACTTCTAATTTACTAGTACTCATTTAAAACTGAAAACTCGCCTACTTAAAACGTTTTTTATGGGTTGGTATAAAAAATGTAATTTCACTTATATTTTCAAGGATGTTTTTCAACCCCTCTTTGGTTAATAGTTTCGAGACATAGTTCTGAACTTGCATTACACTCAAATACTTGTTTGACTGTACTTAAGAGTAAAACCTATTTCAATAGTTCATCGTCAGTGAAATTTTTTAACTTCAAATACACATTTGAATTTAAAAAAAGACAATGCATAAGCCCTTAATTTATAACGGTTTTTTAACTATTTTATTTTCTATATAATTCAAGTAATCAATATTCTTCTAAAAATGTTATTAACGTTTTCGGTATATATTAAACTATGAGTGGGCTTTAATGTATGATAACATGTATATAATGCATTTTATTGTTTTAGAATATTGCACATAGAAATTACAAAATCTTAAAATCCGTGAGCATTGTATGATTTCCTGTGACTGTGTTTACACACACATGCGATATGCACACACACACAATCATTTATACACACAATCGATTACTATTGTCTTTGTAATAAACAAAGTGCCGTATTTGTGATTAGATATTACGTTGTTCCATAAGAAATTTCTTTTTTTTTTCACTTGACTATATTTCCTCCTTGGCCGAACCATTCATTTTTGTTTGCTCAGTATTAATCTTTAAGTTCAATCAGCCGGCACACCCAAGATAAAGAGAACCAAATCAAATAAACCGTCGAAACGCTGATAGTATTACAATATTCTGTGTAACTACGACACTTGAACGTTAAATATAATACTATTATGGCATTACCATTTACCATACCGCGTACCTAAGACTTATGTTTAGCCACCGACTATGTTTTAGCCTGGTTAACAGATTAGCTAATTCGAACAGGTGTATATGATTTCAGACGAAAAATAGGTGCCTACATATTTATTTTACTTGCTACAATTATTACGTTTTCGTTTATTGTGTGATTATTATAAACACTATTTGAATAATGAATATCAACGGCGGATATATTGTAAAGATACGGTTGGTGTAGTCGTTTACTTTATCACTCGAAAACGATAATTTACATAATTTACGCTCGTTTCTTAACCTTATATATCCCGTTGTTATTCTTTGGGACCGTAAACATTTGAAGTTTACGTAAGTAAAAAATAATAGCAGCAATAAAACGATTTTTGTAGGGGATAAAAACGGCCGTCCGCTTTATTATAGTTTGCGAAACTATACATGTATATATTATACGCGAATAATTTATACATAATATTATGTACAACTGTAATTTTATAATTTATATATATTGTCCAATAAAAGTATATTTCGAACGTATCTAAATAATATTTATTATTGAAACACACAAGTTACTCGATAATCATACTATTAAATTATATAATATATTGTATTTATGTATATATATATAATATTATACGAAATAAAATTTCGATTTTGCGAATAATAATAAATCGGTGATGTGATATTATTGAAGCAGCCATCATAATATAACGGTTATATCATTGTTATATTCATACGATTGTGCAGTATGCAAGTAAATATTTTTATTTTTTTATTCTGAGACCGCGTAATATTAACTATGTGACGGTTATAATTTTTCCAAAGAAAAATAATCAGCGTTGTTTTTTTATATTTATAACTATTATAATATCAATCGAAACCTGAAAATTTTAGTGAGAATCTCATATAGGCTGCGTTCTAAGGATTCTGCAATATTGTCTTGAAAAATAATACGATTTTTATGTTTATACTGAGCTGCGGAGGAATGTAATTTTTTTTAATCATTACACATTTTTATTAATTATTACTTTTTTGATGTTTTTTGATATTATACAATAATATAAAGGCTGATATATCATGCTATTGATGTATAATTTTGCATTATAGTAATAATTATATTCTAATAACTCATATTCGTTAAATCAATAGAGTTAACTGTTAGTATTTTTTTACTACCTATTAAATATTAAAACTTGACGTCGTACACACCATGACTTGTCCAACGGCTTTTAAATCTCCGTATGTACGTACTTCGCTACTGGTACGTGTACAATGTATACTGTACATAGTGTACATAATATAATCATAGGTATACGGGATGTGGATCACATGCAGATATGGAGAGTAGCGGAAATTTGTACACAGTTTATAGTTTTAACTGTATTTTTTGAATGCCAAGAGTAGTGGGACAGATAACTTCAGGGCGGGTTCGACGACCTGACTTTTACGAAAATTTGCTTGCAACCCATCGACGTATTTTCTGTCTGTATACGTTTTTGTAGAACGTGGATGAGGTGGGGTGAGCGTGCGAGTGTATACGTATACAATAGTGATGTTTGCTCGTCATCAATCATTAGTGCGGATAACTGGGCGGGGTGTTCGACATCGCCGTTGTCGTCATCAAATTACATTGACTCCTAATCCCTCTTTACCGCTGCGCTGCTACCATCACTACCCCACTGCTACCGACACCACTAATACCGTTACCACTGTATACCGTAGTAGTGTACTTCCTATCTATAGTCTTCCAGGCACTTTCATTTGGCACGTCAATCATGCGCAAAACAAAAGTTCTCCGAACAAAGTTAACCCTCCTCGGTCGATTGGTGCACCCTCATTCTCTCATCATAAACCCGTCGATTCCTTTGACTTGCGATGTATATTATATTCTGACGTACGTGTTCATTCAATTTCGATATTAACCACCGACGGATATTATTTGGGCGTATACGATAAGCCGATTTGACATGTTGCTCATGCTTGTGCACGCGCACGCACACACACACACACACATCATAAGTACTGATAACGGTATAGAGTGATAGTGGTACACAGTTTATTAGTCATTTCAATACCACTTGTAATAAATTATATAGGAGATAAATAAATGGTTTTGTTATCGCCTACTGCGTGTTTCTGTCTACAACGTAAATAATACTCATTTTTTCTTTTTTTTTTTTTTGTTAAAATATGCGCATGTGTTTGCTTTAAAACCGATGGAGTCGATAGTCATAAAATTATTATTTTCATAAAATACTACAAACGATTATATCATACAACATCCGTCGTCGGCTGGTACCACCCTATATTGAAGTTTGTGGTATCGTTATGTTGTTTGTGTCCAAAGTTTTTGCATGGGATGCACGTAATGTTCACTAAATAACACATACACACACATGGTATCACAATAATTATTAACATAAATATTAATATGTATCCGTTTATCGT